GTAGTAGTAGTATAGTAGTATATATATATATATATATATATATATATATATATATATATATATATAGTTGTACAGGCTTGTCGAGACCCATTAGGTTTTTAGACTAAAGTACTAGACATGCAAGACACATAATAGACACAACACCCGTGTCTCTTCATGTAACATTGACTTTCTGTTCATTGGTCTCTGTTTTTCTTTTGTACCGTACACTTTTCACGGTTTCTTTTACTTGTTTATTGTGATTTTTACAAGAAGAATAATGCAAATGGTTTTACACCTGGATGTATCCATTGTTGTTGGAACTATATTAGTCCTCGTATTTGGTCCTTCCCATGATTTTTTATATGATTATACTACACTACGACCACCTATTTATTGTGATATTTACAGAAGAATGCCGGGAATTTGAACTTTTTAGGAGGTTTAAATGTGGACTCATGAAATAAAGGACTGCATGCTTGATCGATGCTCACGTATCTCTCTCATGCTTGTATTCCAGAAGGAACGGTAAATAAGCTTGGAAAGGACTACATCAGTATCATCGTCCTTGGGATTTTCAATGCAGGCATTGCCATCACAGACATTCGTGAATAATTCCATTATGAAAGAGATGTATGTACTTTGTGATGACAAAATTTCTAGATGTTGAGCTATTTAGGAAGTATAGGCCATATTTTCTTACTCGCTTCTTACTTATTCAGGGATTGATATGACTCCCAAGTGTTCTTCCACATTTTGACAGGAAGATGGTGAGCCAATTTGGGTCAGTACAGATCATAGGGACCATGTTATTAGAACTGGAACAGTGTTACGTTTCTTGGTTGAGAGGTAAGATTTTTTGTTCGTGGTCATGTTTGCCTTGAATAATTTGGATGTTATTCACGTGAATGTCGTTAGCTATTCAATTTTCCTATTATGTACACGAATGCCATACATGCACACATATATTTTGCATTCGCATCCACTTGTATCAAAAAATGGGTTGTACTGTGCAGTGTGATGGAGGATATATTCATAGAAATTTCTGGGTCCCTGAAGCGGTCTAACACAGGATGTGTTCGTTGGTTATCTTCTCATGAAGTAGAAAGTGCCTCGACTCACAAAGGTTTTGAGATTGTTTACACAATCTTATTATTTGCATAAGAAAGTTAATGTCTTCTTATCTCATGCTGATACCTGTCAGTGTTTCAGGAGTCACAAGAAACATAAGTCTAAAGAGAGAAAGCCCCATGATCATGATTCCATGCAAGATGATACAAGAGAAGATTCGAACTCCCATAAAATGAGAAAAGCAAAGAGAACGGTTGTCTGAAAATGTTGAAAGTTGAAAGTTGAAAGTTTTGGGATTCAACCAATGTTGTTTCTCCTGCATCAAGTGCAAGTAACCTTTAATTTAAAATTGGTTTTGTACCATATTTGTGGTCGGATGATTTTTTTCCATAGCATTACTTTTACAGAGAAGAGACTTATTATATAAACTCATACACTGATGAATGTCTTCACAAATAATTTAACTTAACTGAGAGGCTTGAAATATTATACAACAATTCTTATCTTTATGTTAGATCAGTGGCCTGTGTTAGGCCTTTGGAGCCAATGTCTGGTTTTGGAATCAGACATGGTGGGCTAAGGAAATCAGATTTGTATTCAGATCTGAGCATGAAGAAGTAAAACTGGGAGAACAAATGCTAGGAGAATGGGTGAAAGCAAGTAAATTATCCCAATGCATAGAGAGAAATTACTTGGTAACTGAACAAGAGACACCATTAATGAAAATCATTGAGATTCTTGTTCCCTTGATCTTGGTCCGTGATATGTATTCCGCGAATCTGAAAAAACAATCATAAAATAAAAAAATAGAGAATTAAGGAAAAAACTATTTGGTGCCTTGATAATTCAAGATATTAAAGAAAAAAGCTTCAAAAAGAAAAAGATATTTCAAAAAAAGAAGAAGGATTTAAACATCGATCTAGGTCATTCCTTTTGTAAATTACATGTATCGGGCTAACTTGGATTCATTCAATCTAGGCCAATCATTCTCAGTACGGATCAGTGATTTTTTGAACATTGCCATGAATTGTTATTAACAAAAATTTAGCTTGACGAAAATTTAGCTTGTGTTATTGGAAATAGCCTATGATTCTAAAAGGAATTGTAAGAAATTTGTAAGAGCATTAAATAAAGAAAAAGTATACGATGAGACCATTTACTTTTGGTATAAGGTGGTCCCAATTAATGTTGATCATTTGATATGAAATTGGATGGATGTATTTATTCTGTTGATCAAGCTTAAATCTTAAAAGAAATTTTTTAAACTGTGGCACATTCAAGCAATTAGATTTTAGATGGTTATAGTAATCGTGATCTCTTTGTACCAAAAGTAAATGGTCTTATTGGATAAATAATCAAATCGACAAGGTAATATAAATTGAGAAATGTATATAGTGAGGTTATTAATTTTTTACATAAGGTGATCATAATCATTATTCACCATTAGATGTAAATTTGGGTGGTTGAGGATGTGTCTTATAGAGAACATAAAAAGAAATTATTCATCACACAAAATAGAGAAACCCATGAAAGCAAGAATGTACAGTGTATAAAGAGAGAGATAGGGAAAGGAAAATCCAGATTGGCCTAGCACAAATGCATAATAAAAATCTAAATTATCCATCCACAGACTCCCAACATTATGCAACAAATAACTTTGAGTTCAGTGCTATCAAATGAAAATAAAACTTAAAATCAAGTTGCAGTCCGTACTATGGATCATTTTTAAATGCCCGAAGTTTGAGAATTCTACTAAAAAATGCCCAATTAACCCTCCAAAATGAAGATAAAAACCTCTCATTCTTGCATTTTAGTAAAAGTATAACATATATTTGTATAAATTGACCGAAATTAAGAGGGAACAACAATGGATTTCAAACACAAACAAAAAATAATGATAAGATAATAAATAAATGGAAGAAGGCCAATTCAGTACCCAATTCAAGTTTAAAGCAATTTGATGCATATGTTGAAACTCATTGATACTTTATAACGAGCAAGAAAAAATGAAATAAATATAACCAGCAAGAAAAGAAAATAAACTCATCTAAACAGCAAGGTAATATATATATATATATATATATATATATATATGTGTGAGCAATGATTTCATGCAATGGTTGCATCATAGTATAATACAACCACACTTCTAGAAAACCATGATTTTGGCATTTGTATGACTCCAAATTCTGCACACACATTCTATTCATCCTCATAATCAATCTTATGAGGAAAAACAAAATTCAATTTGCACCCTAAAAATAGTAAAAATTAGTACCCTCCAACAACGAATCTCGACCGTCCATTCGGTGAATTTCAAGATCTAGGCATGCGTATAGCATGCTATTACTTCATTAGAGAACTCCACAAGCCACAGAGTCACAGCCATCCTGTTAAAACAATAACATGCATTGTCCCCAGTGGGCTCTCACGCACCAAATACTTCATGGCTCACCTGATGTTCCCTAGCAAGTGTGAATCACTTATCACCTGGCACCTTGCAAAAACCCAACGCATCCCTAATGATGTCTACTTCCCCAATAAAAGCCTCACATATTTTTTTTTTTTACCCTAGTGAGCCTTATGAAGATATAATCCTTCTGACCTATGCATCATCAAGGAGGTGTTTTTATTAAAAAGAAAAAGAAGTCGGGTATGATGAGCATCCGATAAGGATCATCATGAATAAAAGTGAGAGCTTCAGGCGGACATATCGATGAAGCTATGGGTAAGATTGCCAAAAAATAAAATTGGGCATAGTGAAAACCCGCAAGGGTGCCATGAGTAAAAATGATAGGCGGTCATGGCCATGAAGCCATGAGTAAGAGTGTCCTGAAAATAAGAAAACCGGGTATGGTGAAAATATGAAAGGGAATTGTGAGTAAAAACAAAAATTAAAGGTGGAGGTGACCTCGAAGTCACAGGTAACAGAGCCTCAATAAAGAGAAGAAGTTGGTGAAAACCATTTTTATGGTGCCGCTTCTATCCAGTTCAGGTGAAAACCCGAAAGGGCACTTGAACTAATAAATAGGTTGATGTAGCTTTCAACCAAAGGTGACTTCAAGCAATCACAACAAAAGTTTGGAGGTTAAGAAATCAATATCCCTCGTGGGTACCTTACTGTCAAAACCAAAAAGAGCTTAAGCAAATCCAACAGCTTGGGTTTAGTTGGGGCAAAAACCCTAGCTTGGGTGAAAACCACATGAAGATCAGAAAAATTATCAAGATGGCAAGGCATGATAGCCATTTGTGGAAGAGATTCTCCAATCCAAGATGTCAGCAGAAAAGAAATATGAAGAATATGTTGACAGCCAGAGATAGAAGTTCTTATAAGTCACCTGATTACCTAACCCGGATCGATGCCCCGGTTCTAAGGGTAGCCATCTTAATCAATGTGTCCATTGCCGACAGGTTTAGAATTTCAGGACATGCCACCAAAAAGCCCCTAACTAAGCCCGATACATCGGCTGTAAGCCCCCAAAAGAGACCGTCTTACTAAGGCTTCCATTGACGATAGGTTTAGACTTTCAAGACAGGCCACCAAAAAGCCCTTAACTAAGCCCGGAACATCTGCTGTAAGCCCTCAAAAAAGACACCCCCGATGTCATTAGTTCAAATCCTGGGGAAGCAGTTTTGCACCCCATTAAGGGTTCTCTTAGGTTATCTATCCAAACCAACAAAGACAAACCCAAGGTTCAGTGTAAATGAGGAGGAAAGCCTTTAAGCAAGGCACCCCACCACTATCCTTTCAAAAGACAAACACGAGGTTTAGTGTAAATGGGGAAGAAAGCCATTAGCAAGGCACCCCACCACTAGCTCTTTAAAGAAAAATCTGACGAATTAGGAAGGAAGTCTCCACGCAAGGCCCCCGACTGCCTGACACATATGGATTCTGATAGCATTGGGAAGGAATCCCTTAAGCAAATCCCCAGTTGTTGAAACCAAAAATACCAACTAGATCGGGAGCAAGCCCACCAAGGGCACCCACTAGCTAGTCCATTAGGAGGTGTTTTTGAGACAAAATGGTAAGCCCTTCCACAAGGCACCCGATCGGCTTGCTCTCCCAGAAAACGGATTCTAGTGGCATTGGGAAGGAAGCCCTTAAGCAAGGCCCTCAATCGCTAAAGTCCACTTCGGTCACCCCTCCAGGAAGAAGCTTGGTATGGTCTCCTCCTCAAGGACTGTATTGATGCTGGTGATTGAGAAAAAAAACATTTTTCAGAGGCAATAAAGGCGTCTTAGTAAGGATGAGAAAGATGAGCTTCGACAAAACAATTTATTCCAAATTCTACACTTCTCGCTTCTCTCGAAGAGCAGCATTAGGCAAGGAAAGTTGTTATATATTATTTTCTACTTTACTTAAATCTCCGAGTCGCATAAGGTGAGAGCCAGTGATAACCTGGTCCTTCCGGTACCCAAGACATCGCCAGATCATGGGAATACTTGTTTATAATGCAAATATGACAAATCTTCCAATGAAGATCTCTCGATTTTAACACCTTAAACTGATGAAAAGGAAATAAAAGATGGTAAAGAAAGTGGGACAAATCGAATTCAGATCTAAGGCTAGATATGCTCGAAAACGAGCAGATCTGCTCTCAGATCTGTGGCAGAGCCAGCATGATCCAGAGCATCCCAAACATGATTTTAAAGTGAATAAGTAGATCAAACTGAAATTAAAATAGTAAAGAAGAATAAAAAAGAAGAAAGGAAAATGATACCAAATCGGGCCGGATGGTTCGGGACTCCCGAGCCTTTTGGGGCTCGCCCGTATTAGAACCATCCTCTTTTATCTCTCTGACTGGGATGTTTATACACAAATGTCTTCGGTGTGAAGTCTTTAGTTGAGGGTTCTATCCTAAGGGTAGATCTGGGGTTTCTCTGAGGAGGCTAAGGCTTCCTGAGGAATTTCCAAGGTTTTCTCTCCTGTAACTCCCTCAGGTTTTTCAACCCTATGTCCTCTATTTCTTTTTCTCTGCTAGGGTTTTTTTCTCTCTCGATCTACCTCCTGGTTCTTTTTCTCTCTCCTAAGGTTTCTATCTCTCAAGTCCTCCCATCTCTCTCTCCGTAACCCTATAAATAGTCTAAAAAAGATGCTCAAAAGGGGGCCAAAATTGTTGGGGAGAAAAAAATTACGTAACTGAAAAATCCCTAGTTAAAAGGTCCACCTTTTGTGGGTCATGGATTTGGGCGACACAAGTCGTGTCGCCCAGGCGGCATGCCTAGTGTCGCCTAAAAAGGTAAAAAAAAAGTCCAAAACCTTAAAATTCCATTTTGGGACAAAATGGTTTGGGCAACACCGGTCGTGTTGCCCAAGAGACACTGGTAGTGTCGCCCAAATCTGGACGACACTAGGCGTGTCGCCCAATCTAGGCTGGGCGACACTGCTCGTGTCGCTCAAGTCAAACTTGGCCAAAGTTTTTTTTTTAAACAAAAAAAACTTTGACTAC